TTTTCACTTTCCTTTTCCCCTTTTACTTCGCCATCTTTTTTACCTAGTTTACTTCCTTCTCCTTCTTTACCTTCTTATTCCCTTTCTTTGTTTTCTTTTTCGTCCTCTTCTTGTTCACCTTCTATTTGTTCTTGTTTTTAGTTTTTTTTTTCAGCTTCTTTTTCATCATCTTCTTCGTCATCTTTTCTGCCTTCTTCTTCTTTTTACCATCTCTCCTTCTATTTCGTCATCTTTTCTGCTTTCTTCTTCTTTTTACCATCTCTCTTTCTTCTTCGTCGTCATCTCTGCCTTCTTCTTCTTTTTACCATCTTTCCTTTTTCTTCATCATCTTCACAGCTTCCTTCATTTTTTTTACCATCTCTCCTTCCTCTTACGCATCCTAATCATTGCTGTTATTATTATTGTTGCCAGATCCCCTGTTTGTTTAATTTTCTTCAAAGATTTCCACTCATTTTCCCTTGGAATATGGTTAACTTTGTTTTATGCCTTGGTGTAAACAATTTGTAGTCTTATTTTCTCATTGGGGAAAATTACTTACGCAGTTCCAACGATTATAACTGTTTGTATTTGTCATATGGTTAATTGTAGATACTTTTAAAAATAAAAGTCTGTGTAATTATTATTATTGTGATTATTAATAATATTATTATTATTATTTATCTGGATTAACGGAATCATGTTTGGGTAGGAAAAAAATGCCTTTTTCTTCTATATTGTATGTGGGTAGCAAATTAACAGGACCTTTTGGTGAATGTTCTATTAATTTGTCCACCAGATGTAATTTTGCTCGCCGCCGGCCGCCATCTTTCAAATTGAGATCTAGGTTATCAGTTTGACAATATTTTCTTCCATAATCTTTTATCGTTATCCCTGTAAAAATAAGTACAATCAAATGACTCATTTATTTGTTTTAATTTGAATATCCTACTTGTAATCAGAAAGACCTTTCGAACCAAGTCCCGTTCGGTCGGAGTTATACGTGAACAGATGAGGCTTCAACATCTCCTCTCCAGTTCACCTTTTTTCTGCCATATTCAGCAGTACAGTTTTACCGTCTTTTTTTTTTTATTTATTTATTAACCTTTTGATCCTTCCGTTCTTGAACAATTTTAAGGCTTCTGTCTGAGCTCCTGAGTCAAAATTCGCAAATAATTGGTATGTAAATGTTTCACGGTAGATATGAAAATAGTTGCAAGTGTTTACCAACCGTTCAACCGGTGACTGGGCATTAAGTCATTTTTCTCTACCACCGGTAAAGCGGCGGCAAAGGCTCAAAATGTTAATAACGCATTTTAACACATTTCCCATCTTGTTTTGATATCGTCCAGTTTCAAAATTGTGCCATTGAAGTTTATCATCCTGAAAAAGTTGAAAAGTGTTCCTGGAATAATTTTGATATATTTGAATTTTCATTTCAATCGGTGTCTATATTTTAATGTATCAGTTACCGAGACAACCCTCGTCTGGTAAATTGGATTCATCTGTAACCTTGGAAACATGAATTACGATTTTAGCTGTGTCTTTAAAACCCAGTAATTTTAAAAGTTACTCCAAAATTCGCTTGAGGATGAAATGGAACTAATGTCTTTAATTTAATTACAAAATTAAATTCGGGGCTTTTAGCTTCCACTTTTGAAACATGGTTTAGAACTGTGTAGCGGAAAAAACCATATTTTAAATCAATTAATTTATAATATATATATATATATATATATATATATATATATATATATATATATATATATGTTTCGAATATGTACCATCCGATTATCTTCAGGTGCTTATTGTTTTATTTCGAGCTGCTGGGAATATATTACAAATTAATGCAAACCAATTTAACTTGCTATGTTTTATTCCACTGATTGCTTTTGTGGCCTTCGAATCTAATCTTGCTAATCATGAAGAAACAACGTCCATATTTACAAACGGTGCAAATATTCGGAGTTTTATCGCAGCTAAAATCCTGCATTGCGGATACCATCTTTCTAGTGGAACCTCTACAAACCAGTAAGACTGGCACAACAGAATCTTTCTAATTGGCCCCTTTAGAAAATATGCGAAAATAGTTTTCTATACAAATATATTTAAATGCTTTTGGCTTCATTGATTTTCAAAATGTATTTTTTTTTTCGCGTTGCTCTGATTTTAATATTTACTGGAAAATGATGTATAGACTTTTTCGCTATATGACAGCTGCAAATGAGATGCAATGACAGATGTTTGCGCCCGGATATCGAATTCAGTATGTTTTTTTTTTTTTTTTTTTTTTTAAATAGGAAAAATGGTATTAATAAATCAAATTGATTGATACATGGGAACAGCTTGATAGATATATAGCTTAAGAACAAAGTGAGATAGATTATGAAGAGTTAGTCTGTCTGTGGATGACAATATATATATATATATATATATATATATATATATATATATAAAGATAGATAGATAGATAGATAGATAGATAGATAGATAGATAGATAGATAGATCATATTTGAAAAAGATATGCACATAGATAAATAGATGGATAAAAAGATAGATATATAGATTATGAGTAGAGTCAGATAGATTATGAGCAGTGAGATAGCTAGATAGTATTTAAGAAAGATATACACATAGATATATAGATAGATAGTTTATGAAAAATGACACACACACAAACATATCCACACACACACACACACACACACACACACACACACACACACACACACACACATATATATATATATATATATATATATATATATATATAGATAGATAGATAGATAGATAGATAGGTAGGTTTTGATCTTAATGTTTTTGTCTGTCATGTGATCTATGTGAGTAAACAGAAGCCCTTGGTTAAGTGCATTGACAAGGAAGAAGAACAACAACAGCAACAACAACAATATTACTACTACTACTATCAATAATAATAATAATAATAATAATAATAATGATGCTAATATTTCCATTGATATTTATTTTAAAAAATATCTAGGCACGTTTGAATTGCATGGGTGTATCTCCCGTTTTATCTGTATCTTCACATTGTCACCTTAACCCTTTAAATGTTAGTTGTCCGTAAATGTAGTTATCAAAATGTTATATAAAGATGGACGACTTTCACAGTCAAAAACGGAATATGCAAAGGAAAGCACAGTTATTTTCTAGTGCATTTTTTTTATCTTTCTTTTTAATGTATCACCATTTTGTATGCCTTTCTATTCCTCCGTTCTTTTTCGCCTTTCGTTGTCTTTTGATGTCTCTCTCTTTCTTGTCTCTCATCCATTTCCTAACCTTTCTCGCATATGTTTATTTGTTACTTTCAGTTGGTTTCCTTTTATGTTTTTTTTTTCTTTCTCAGTGACGTTCTATTTTTCATTCTTCACTATCTCTTATCCTCATCCCCCCCTATGCGTTTCTTAAGTCCTTTACACTTAATATTAATAAGTAGTAAAATAAGAAATAAAAGCCTATTGCGTCTCAGAAACACCAAGGATCGGGCAAATAGTACAGTATGATCCTAGTCCGAAAAGCGTAAAATCTGAGCCTAGAAAAATAAAAAAATGAGAATAAAAGTACTGATTTTTTCATCAAAGAAATACACGGATTATTTTTCTTGATTTTCTTTTTATCCCTTTTAGTTAGCCTTCAGTGTATTTCATCATAAAAGAACTATTCAAGTTTTGATTTGCCGACTTTTTGCAAGGAATTTTTCGACATCATCCCGCTTCTTTCAACAAAGAGAATTGCTCGAAATAAAGAAAGCGTAAATGGCGGAAAGATGAGAAAAATGAGCGGGAAGAAAAGCAGAAGAGAAAATGGAGTGAAAATTCAGTAAAATGAAAAGAAGCAAAAATGAACGCAATGCAGTTATAAAACGGTATGGAATAGGAAATGAAAAGAATTTAAATATCCGGTAGAGTTAATGTGCCTATCGGATTATGTTACAGTTATGTCGTCTGCTCGAAGCAATTAAAAGACACCTGGTAATCACTAAAAGGGTAGTAACAACAAGAAACTTGCCCATTTCTTCCAGCTTTCTAACGATACCGGTTAATATTACGTTCACGCAACAAATTCCCAAAGGGCATTTTTCCATAATTTCAGGGAAATCGTTGTTTACTTTTTCCTGCTTGGGCAATTAGTCAAGTGTCGGACTTTTTTTTTCTTCTTTTATGTGCTGTATTGCTTCAGGCAAAAAAGACAAAACTTACTACTAGCTATATACGATATGATTAATCTGCGAAAAGTATATATAAGCTTGGAGTGTTTAGATTTTTCTTGTTATTTGAAAAATGGATTATTGTTCATTTTAGCCCTTATTCGGTAACCTTTTCTAGAAACTTCAAAAATGAGTGTTTTCTACCACCATTGCTAAGTGTCGAGCGTTTTTTTCCTCCTTTTATTTGCCGTATTGCTTCAAGCAAAAAGTCAAAACATACTACAAGCTACAAGGGAGAGGAAGTTGTGGAAAGCCAAGATTGCTATCGTTCTGAAGGGAAACGACAAACAGAAAGAAAATAATTAGATTGCTTGCCGTTACATAGATAAGTAGTTTAGAATTGGTCTTTAACATGTTTATTAAATTCCTATTAACTGGGACTTTTGCCACTAGTTCTTTTAAATGAGACATGGATGTTTGGAAGGAAATTCCCATTTATACAGGGGGGGGTTATAAAATCCGTGTGCAATTTTAATTACCTAGAGTTTTGAACGAATACATGATATGATGAAGCCGCGAAAAGTATTTATAAACTTGAAGTGTCCAGTTTATTTTAATTTTTTTTTTGGTTATTTGAAAAATGGATTATTGTTTAGTTTAATTCTGATTCGATATCCTTTTCTAGAAACTCCAAAATGAATGTTTTCTTCCACCTTTGCTATTGATCTGTAACTCTACTAGATGAGAAAATAAACTATGTCCTTTAAATGGCAGAGCTAAAATTTCTCATTGTTGCCCAAAGAAGGTTTAGACCTCATTACAATAGATACTACAGGAGAATTCCATATCCAAGTAATGAAAACATATGAAACAACAAGTTCTGTCGATGGTAAGCCACGATTTGACAGGCCAAGTGTAAGTGAAGAAAGTTTAGCATCCGTAGAACATCATAACAATAAATGGAACAATAAATGGAAATAAAAATTGTCCTATCCTTTTAACAGATTAATTTAAACATGCATAGTTACAAAACTATATTTATTTGAAATTGTACATAGACTTTATAAACTCCATGAATTAGAAAGAGCTATAACATTTAATGGACTTGATAAGTCGAATTTCTTAAAAAACTGTTTTAAGGTGAAATTTCAACAGGCAACAACATTATCTTTTCGATCAATGAATGGTAAAAATTTCCTGTATGGAAACGGCTATTAATGCCATTACCATTTAAACAGCTTGATAAAATCTTTTGAAAATAGTTGTAATTCGTTTAATTTTTTTTCTTAAAGAATAGATTTGTTCATTATCTGGAAAAAAAATTATCTGAGATCTTAGGGGTTAACTTACATTTGTGCAGCACTATATATATATATATATATATATATATATATATATATATATATTAAGACATTTTATGTTTATACATTCATTTTATAGATAAGAATATTTAATTAAATGCTCTGTTTATAATAAACATTATTAAACAACATTTACCGGCCTGAATGAAAAATATTCGTCCACCGAATTTTCTATGAAAATTTCTCGGACATTCAGGCCGGCAAATGTTGTTTAATAATGTTTATTATAAACAGAGCATTTAATTAAATATTCTTATCTATAAAAAAAAGAATGTATACATAAAAATGTTTTAAAATAATTGTCGGACTTTGATTTCATTATATATATTATATATATATATATATATATATATATATATATATATATATATATATATATATGTATATCCAAGAAAGATTTATTATTAGTAATTTTGCTATAAAATGTATCGTTGGTAATTTCTGCTATAAACCCCCACTTTTTTTTATGGTTCTTTTTTTCGAAAAAAAAGAGACTGTATTTTGTTTTTAAATCTGAATAAATCGTTCACTCGCCAGTAATTTGCAATCGGCTGATGAGATGCATTTGATACGCATCGAAACACGACTATAATTGTGTAGCGATTTTTACATGTTTTTCGATGTAATATTCTAAAAAAAGTATATATATATATATATATATATATATATATATATATATATATATATCAGAAATAACCTGATGATTGCTTAAAACAGGAAACTGCGAGTTACGATGCAGTATTGATTTCTCTGTACTTGTCAGTCTCTCACCCTCATATATATATATATATATATATATATATATATATATAGAGAGAGAGAGAGAGAGAGAGAGATGAAAGATAGAAGATAGAAAGAAAGAAAGAAGGGAGAATAAGAGAGAGAGAAGAGAGAGAGAGTAATAAAAACACATTTATTTAATTTATAATTTTTAATGTTCTCTTTCTTGATATCGAGCACTTTAATTACAAAAACAGCTTGCCTTAAATCCGTGATCTTCAAGAATTACACTAATAAACCATTTTGGGGTGCAATATTTTCTTTATTATTGTTGTTATAAGTCACTAAGTATATCTGGATATAATTTTGCATAATGATTGTAACATTTAATGTCAACAGTGTAAAGAAGATGAATGTAGTATTCTGAATAGTACTAAGGCGTGCATTCTAGTGTAATGGATAACGGAATGGAATGGGAAATCAGAGAAGCGAGATCGAATTCCTTGTCGGATCCATTCCGTTCACATACATACAAATATTCTTGGGGAAGGTATGAAACCATCTGTTCTCAACTCTAGCCTGGCTTGACTAGCAGGAGAGACTGAGTTCTGTAGCCTTGGTTGGTAATCAGTCTACCGCTGAATGAAACGGCAGCTTGCTGCGGGAATATCTTCTACCTCGTCAGTCACGGATCAAAATAGACCTGATCACATAAGCCTGTATCGCGTATATTTAACTGACGGGCTGAATTAGACTGACGTTAGCAAAGTCTTTTTATTTTTGCTAATAGTGAACTGACGAAATGAACACTGTAACGGAATAGTCATTTGGAAGAAGTTTAGAAAAGTAATCTAGTTTCAATATATATATATAAGGAACCAGATTACGCTTTTCGTCCTTACTGGGCTTCATAAGATCAATGGCGAAACGCCTAATCTAGTTTCAATGAAACGGCTTTCCATTTGTCACACACACACACACACACACACACACACACATATATATATATATATATACATATATATATATAAATATATATGTAATATAAATTGAACTGCACCATATATTTGATTTAAAAGAACTGATCTGACGTGAAAATTTTCGGGTAATAACTGAGACATTGGTCTACTTATTGAACTATTTAGTTCATGCCACATAAACTCCTATAAAAAAATTCTCAAATTTCCGTATTAGTAGAAAACGCACTCTCTTAAATTTTCAAAAATATTCAACCTTAGTGTTGCGACTGCACACTCCAAAAGTTTGCATCCGTTATCAATAGCACGTTTAAAAAACATATTTCGATTAGCATTATATTTTTCCGTCTGGGATGCTACCTGAATTTTACCGAAAACAAAATAATTTCCATGCTTGAAGATGACTGAATGTACAGTCGAAAGTACTTGTGCGTATTTAAGAAAGACTGTATACAGCGTATAATTTTAAAAAGCAAGGATCATAACATTCATTAAGTGATTAGTAAGTTAATGCATCTTAAAAAAAATTGTTAGCAAAGGGATTTCGAAATTTTATATCATTAACTTTACTAATTTACCTTTTTGTATATGATATATATATATATATATATATATATATATATATATGTGTGTGTGTGTGTGTGTGTGTGTTCTTATACATATATTAAATCTAGATTACGCATTTCGCCTTCACTAGACTTCGTCAGATCAATGGTGAAACGCGCAATCTAGTTTCAATGAAAGGATCAAGTTATAAAATATAATCTGCGCACTTTAATATATTTAAAACATCAGATCCACAGCACAGTAATAATCAGAATCTAAAATTCTGTGGAAAACTACTAAGACATTTTTACTCTACTAATTAGATTATACTTAAGTCTAGTTCACTTTAACAGATAAATACATATAACAAGAAAATTTCGTGGATTTCAAATGTTTCAAAATTTAAAAAAAAAACTCTCACTTGATCGATTTGAACAAAAACTCTAGCATTGCGATAAAACATATATTTAACTGTCAATAAATAGCATTATTTAAGAAAAACATCTTTCGGTCTACACATATTTCGTCTTAGTGTTTGCCTATGCATGGAAAAAAAATAGCGCCTTGAAGATGACAATTTGAAATTGTCGAAAGTACTTGACATATGTCTTCCATTTGAAACAACTCGAATATAAGGATCTTATTATTGAAGGAATTGATAGTAAGTTAATGTGTCATTAAGTCTTGTTAGCGAAGTGATTTCGACTTGAATCACATTAACAATATTTATTTCTTTGTATAAATTGTTTCTTTTATATATATATATATATATATATATATATATATATATATATATATATATATATTAGGCATTTAAAGCAACATGACTGGTCGCATACCCAATTCCGGAAAATCCTCGTTGAAAACACAACTATACTTAAACATGAAAACAATAGACAAAAACTAAAAATTCTTGAAGCTATATACATAAAACAGTTGAAACCTAACCTGAACAAAATAAACTATGAAATCTATACAAATATTCTTAAATGCCTATAACTGAAAACAGAAGCTATTGGTTTATACCAATGGCTTCCCATACTTAATACTTCTCGTTTTCACTCTCGCGTAGTCATGCGTGACGTCATGAGCTGCGGTGCGATATTCGCTTCCGCGTCTCGTATACACGAATTAGTTGTTGCTTTGAAATTTTTCATGGAACAAAAACAGACTATCATTATTGTTTTGTCCGTGTAATGTTTAATATATTGAAATGTAATTGTCATCTTTGATAATGGTGTGTGTAAGCCGAAAGCTTAGATAGGATTAAAACATGTATCAATATGGTGATTTCCTTTCGTCTTTTAAGCTCATCAGGCAATATGAAAGGAATTTACTAAATATTTAATAAATAGACAAAACTTGTATATATTATTTAATGAAACATGCATCAATATATATATATATATATATATATATATATATATATATATATATATATATATGACATAACGATACATATTTATTTTTTATATATCAAGAACAATATTGGGTAAATTGTATCAAAGGAGAGAAGAATTCACAACGACGAAAATTCACTACAACGTAGAGTGCCTTGATCGCAAGATCATCTATTGTTAATTTGCGCCCTGGTTTTTATAACAACCCTGACAGATCTTCTTTGATTACAGTGTGGGATATCTACTAACAGAAGTGATGGAAAGAAAAAGAAAAAGACACTAAATCAATTCGACTAGATATATCAAAAAATAAATTATAAAATAAATCTTAAAATCCCCAACATCCGTCGTGCATGCGCATGTGCGGTCGCACCAACATAACAAATTTAATCCGAAGGACTAAATGCATCACAAGTAAACTTTTTTTCCACTTTGTCATGCAATTTCCCCAATATATATATATATATATATATATATATATATATATATATATATATATATATGTGTGTGTGTGTGTGTGTGTCTGTGTGCGAGCGAGTGTGTGCGACAATATATAGAAAATAGGAAAAAAAAGAACTCGTTAGGTAAATAATCCAAAGTTCTTTAGTATTTTTGTTATTATTTAAAAAAAAATGCTCGATGCAAAAGTAGAGCCTAAAAATAATATATATATATATATATATATATATATATATATATATATATATATATATATATATTGAGGAATCGTAGTGCTGAGTTCAAATTCCAGCCGCATCCATTACATTTACTTACGTACTAATACTCTTGGGAAAGGTATGAATCATCTTCTCCCCCAGCTATGGGTAAATAGCAGGACAAACTGGGTTCTATAGTCTTGGACGGCAACTGGTCTAGAAGATGAAGAATTCTGAAAACAAAACCTGTGGAGTGCAGCAGATCTCTGTTTTCGGCTCTTCAAAAATTGTGGTTGGCTCTGCACAAATACTTTACCACTATAACCTAACCATGTGTGTAGGTGTCTGGCTGTTGGTTCATAGGAACTAAATTGCTTAACCCTCATACGTCGAAAAACGACGGGAGAGTCCCGTGTACATATATATATATATATATATATATATATATATATATATATATATATATATATAAGTAAATCATCGAGTCGAGACGAAACCTCAGCAGAATGCAGAAAGCCCTGGATAACTGTACAAACGGTCCTCGAAGAGGTAGCGAATTAGACTCGATATATCGCCGCTCGATCCCATATTCCGTGATGGGACTCATCCGAGTTTCTCCTTACTCATAAGACTGTGCCCACACGAGCCACGACTACTATCACCAAGCCGCTCCAGCCAGTTCAGGCAAGGATATACAAGTGATAGAAATTATTAGTTAACAATCCGGGTTTCAATTTTCGGTAGTGGATACGCACTGCTGATGAGTCCCAAATATAGGACGAAACGGCCGTCTAGTGCTTTCTGCATTCTGTTGAGGTTTCTTCTAGACTCGATGAATTACTTAATTATGATTATTTCAAATCCTCCTAATTATTTCTATCGCTTGTATATCCTTGCTTGAATCGGCTTCTAAAGCTCTGGAGTGAGCGGCTTGGGGATAGTAGTCGTAGCTCGGGGAGGCACAGTCCTATGGGTAAAAGAGAAACTCGGAGTTCCACCACTGAATTTGTGATCGAGCGGCGCTCTATCGAGTCTAATTCTTCGCCACCGAGAACCATTGGTACAGTTGGTATGGCGTTTGCCTCCTGTCGTAACTGTTCGGTTTCAATTCTCGGTAGTGGATACGCACTGCTGATGAGTCCCAAATATAGGACGAAACGGCTTTGTGCATTCTGTTGAGGTTTCTTCTAGATGAATTACTTATGATTATTTCAAATCCTGTTAATAATTTCTATCAAACACACATATATATGTATGTATGTATTGTGTTATCCGTCTCTGTCCACAATCTCTTCGGGTCCGTCTATGGCCTTAATTAAACACCGCATCTTATAGTTAGTTGGGAGGCCACTTGGGACATCGTCAAAGCGTGTAATGTCGCACACGGTTTCCCGCCGGTATTCAGCGACGCATTTACTCTGAACTCTTTTTCACATTTCTTCATTTTCCTTCTTTCTATTCTTCAACTTTTCTTCTGCATTAATGTCAGCAATTTATTCAGATTTTGAAGTATTCAGTAAGATGTGATGACGGCGTTTCTCCTGGGAGTGCGAGGCGAAACGAGTAAACAGACATGCATAGATCAAGATGAAGACGGATGCCTATAATATAGGACATATACCATCTCTCTCTCTTCTCTCTCTCTCTCTCTCTCACACACACACACACACACACACACACACATATATATATATATATATATATATATATATATATATATATATATATATATATAATTAAAAAGTTAAAAACAGAGAATTTTATTTTCTCTGGATCTTCCGCTTCACTTTCAAATTGAAATGAAAAATGAACTGAAATTTATAATTTATTTCAGTTCAGAGAGAAAAATTTAAACTCTCCTTTTTTCTCTGGATCTTCTCACACTATTGCTCACCACCCTCTTTCAACTTATGTAAGCTAAAGGTGAAATGTTTTTCTTTAAATTATATTAAAATCAGGAATCCTCCTTGGGAAATACGGATTTACACTTAATTATATATATATATATATATATATATATATATATTTAAGACATGGCGTTGTATAGTTTAGACATAGCTTATTTTGATAAGTCGAGTTCATTATTAAAGGAGAGAGAAAATCTCCGTGTTTATATATATTTTTTTTTTGCACTTTCGACATAATGTCATCATCATTGTTTATTATAATATAATAAACAAACACCAGGAGTTTGTTACAATAAACAAAATAAACAATTAAAAACAAAAAGACAATTAAAATATATATAGTTTCAAAATTTTATAGAACTGAAAGGCAAAAAATAAAATTTTATAACATGTTTGAAATAATTGCAAAATGAAATTTTGCTTTAAATAAAAATTCTTTTTAGATTAAATAATTTTACGTTATGATGCATATTACTCGAACATTTGTATTGAGCACTCTTTCACGCGCACACACACACACACACAGCACAGACAAGCAAAATACATAATTGTAATTAGCATTCACGCGAAAAACTTTTCCCTTCTTTCATAGTTTTTCCTCTAAAATCATAACAATATATATTTTTATACAATCGTTATTATAATGAATGAAATATATTTGAATTAGACGCCCTATTTTTATTTATCAAACATTGAATATATATATATATATATATATATTTATTATAATATATTTATATATAATATAAACTGTTTTTTATATCTCTAAAACACCGGGAGTGTTGAAACAAAATGGCTTATTTTTGTTTCAATACATGTTTATGTTATAAATTGTTTAAATTAATTATATTCCTCAGGCGAATGGTTGGTTATTGGTTATAAAATGATTTCTTGGAGATGTATATATATTTATTAAAACAAATCAATTTTATACCTCTTTTCCTAAAGTGATAAAAGGCGATGGTTGGTGACTGGTTATAAAATGATTAAAATTTAAACTACCTCTTTTCCTATATATATATATATATATATATATATATATATGAGGCTTTTTTTCGCAAAACCCATATGGGATTGCCTGACTTCTAGTATTCTTCTAGTGAAATGTCTTGAGAAGTGTATGTAAATAAATAAATAAAAAAACTTTGAAATATCTGAAGTTTCATTTACGCATGAATACCACGGTTTCCTTCCTGTGCCCCGCCTATGGCTCGCAACCTGAGCCAATGATTACACTTGGAACATTCTCAAAGTATTCATTCCGTAACTGATGTACGTAACTAAATGAGTCGTGGACAGAACAAAAGGATACAGGCTCTTATTGGATTTTCGCCATTTGCACCAGTCCTTGTACTTTTGCAACTAGATATGCAATCGGATGAAAGAAAACACTTTTTAAAACAAAAGAAACTAATTCCTTTTACGTCCAGCAATTATTTCTCAAAATTTTTGTACTCATTGGCTCTATGAAATATTTTAACACATACATATATTTTGAATACAAATGGCTGATCACCCATATTTTCATTTCTTCATGAATTATTCGATCGTGTATCTTTATCTTTGTTATTTTTAGTGCAACAGTTCGGTCGTTGTTTTCTTCGTTCGTTCTAATGGTTCTGCTGCATTTGTAAGTCTATCGGTGTCATAAGAAGTAGCACAAGTGATAAGAGTCTTTTATTTATGTATTTTCGTCTTGCGCGCATATCAGCGCGCATCAAAGCGCGCTGATATATAACTTTATAAAAATGGAGTATTGCTGTTTATTAATTGAGATATAAAATGAAATTAACAATTTTTAATATTAACTTTTGGCATGCGTAAAAAATGTCAAAACTAAAACAAAACAAAAAAACAATAGTCCGAATAATGTAAATAGTGTACATAATACCTCATCTCAGAAATATAGAGAGATAGTGAAGGGTGATAAATATGGCAACAAAGATGAGGACAATAGTCCGAATAATGTAAATAGTGTACATAATACCTCATCTCAGAAATATAGACAGATAGTGAAGGGTGATAAATATGGCAACAAAGATGAGGACAATAGTCCGAATAATGTAAATAATTGTACATAATACCTCATCTCAGAAATATAGACAGATAGTGAAGGGTGATAAATATGGCAACAAAGATGAGGACAATAGTCCGAATAATGTAAATAGTGTACATAATACCTCATCTCAGAAATATAGACAGATAGTGAAGGGTGATAAATATGGCAACAAAGATGAGGACAATAGTCCGAATAATGTAAATAGTGTACATAATACCTCATCTCAGAAATATAGACAGATAGTGAAGGGTGATAAATATGGCAACAAAGATGAGGACAATAGTCCGAATAATGTAAATAGTGTACATAATACCTCATCTCAGAAATATAGACAGATAGTGAAGGGTGATAAATATGGCAACAAAGATGAGGACAATAGTCCGAATAATGTAAATAGGTACATAATACCTCATCTCAGAAATATAGACAGATAGTAAGGGTGATAAATATGGCAACAAAGATGAGGACAATAGTCCATACATAATACCTCATCTCAGAAATATAGACAGAAAACTCGTTACATTTCTTCATCATTGCTGATTGGACTGTGAACTATCACCAATCACGTTGAATGCTCTCTCGGGGAAACCCCGTACCTTGAACGTCTATTGAGACTTAGAATTAACCCAGGCCTCAAATAGAGCACGCACATATGATACATCGCTGAAGATGCTGGAAAAATGGCCAGATCCGTGAAACCGCTCTCGTAAGTACACGGAACCTCGTACTATACTCTACCTTTACAAGAACCACATGAGGCCCAAAATGGAACACTATTGTATATATGGCTTCGTGTTCACTTTCTAGTCTCGATATAGTCCAAAAGCGTCTCCGCGTTCTTGTGGGTGATGAGTGGTTTTCCACCCTACAAGCTGTTTCCCACAAACAAAACGTCGCAAGCCACTCCTTTCTCTAGAGTTATTTCCAGGGAAAGTGCTCAGACGAATGACATTCCTTAGTTCCACCAGTTCTAAATTTCACGACCCACCATGCAACGTACATTGTAGCGAACTGCCCTCATTTTAATTTCATTCCATTTGTGAGATTGAAGCCCCACTCGAGCAGCTTATTTCCACAAACCGCTGCTTTGTGGAATCGACTCCCAAGAGGATGTTTTCCATTCACTGCAATCTTAACTTATTCAAGACTAGGGTAAAACCGTTATCTTCCCCACACATTCGCATAAAGAATGCTTCTTACTCTGTAACCCTCTACATTGAGTGGCTCCCGGGCCTTGTACAGGGTGAACATCACTGTTTTCCATTTTAAAAATATTAAAAGAATAAGTGCATAGAGAGTCAGTTATGTTTTGAAAGGATTTATATTTTTAAAATTCAATTACGTATTACATAATATTAAGATGTTTTAAATTGACTTGATTCTTTACTCTTCAATTCAAAGTGATGTTGCTTCTTAACAGAGAAAAGTATTTTTTTGCAAAATGATTCGTTAATAAGGGAATAATTATCTACCAAAGTGAACCACGGGCATCCAGCTTTTAAAATTGAAAGAAATCTCAATTATAAATCTCATCGTTTCATTATTTTCTCTTGTGTCTTTTCTCTTCATCTTTATTCAGTTTTCTCGTTCACATTCTCGATCAGATTCTCGTTCAGTTTTCTCATTCAGTTTTCTCGCTCAGTTTCTCGTTCAGTTTTCTCGCTCAGATTCTCGTTCAGTTTTCTCGTTCAGTGTCTCGTTCAGTTTTCTTGCTCAGATTCTCGTTCAGTTTTCTCGTTCAGATTCTCGTTCAGATTCTCGTTCAGATTCTCGTTCAGTTTTCTCATCCAGTTTTCTCGTTCAGATTCTCGTTCAGTTTTCTCGTCCAGTTACTCGTTCAGTTTTCTCGTTAAGTTTCTCGTTCAGTTTTCTCCTTCAGTTTTCTCCTTCAGATTCTCGTCCAGTTTTCTTATTCAGTTTTCTCGTTCAGATTCTCGTTCAGATTTTCGTTCAGTTTTCTCCTTCAGATTCTCGTTCAGTTTTCTCGTTCAGTTACTCGTTCAGTTTTCTCGTTCAGATTCTCGTTCAGATTCTCGTTCAGTTTTCTCCTTCAGATTCTCGTTCAGTTTTCTCGTTCAGTTACTCGTTCAGTTTTCTCGTTCAGATTCTCGTTCAGATTCTCGTTCAGTTTTCTCGTTCAGATTCTCGTTCAGTTTTCTTTTCAGTTACTCGTCAGTTTTCTCGTTCAGATTCTCGTTCAGATTCTCGTTCAGTTTTCTCGTTCAGATTCTCGTTCAGTTACTCGTTCAGTTTTCTCGTTCAGTTTTCTCGTTCAGTTTCTCGTTCAGTTTTCTCGCTCAGATTCTCGTTCAGTTTTCTCGTTCAGATTCTCGTTCAATTTTCTCGTTCAGTTTCTCGTTCAGTTTTCTCGTTCAGAATCTCGTTTAGTTTTCTCGTTCAGTTTCTTGTCCAGTTCTCTCGTTCAGATTCTTGTTCAGTTTTCTCGTTCAGTTTTCTCGTTCAGAGTTTCGTCTCGCGTTTTTTTCTCGTTTCTCATTTTCTCCGATTTTATCTTTTTCTTTGCTTCATTCTCTCTTTTGTTGTGGAATCTTCCAAGTGGACTTAATAAAACACCCGATTGTAAGAAATTGCCAATTAGAATAGACTACAATTCAATAGTTTGAATTGCAACGTTCGTAAAGATGAAAAAATATAGGATCCGCTTAGACTCAGTGTTGCATAAGAGTAAGTGTCGTTGCCAACACTGTGGTTTGAAACTAGATCGCCAGTGAGTAACATGGGCGATTCCATTATTAAGTAGACCACGGAATCATAAAGGAAGTGAATAAATCGGAAGTAGTGTGATGTCAATACAATCACTGCTCACTCTTCTTGTTTATCCACTATTGCTATACTTTCACTCTCTATACGGATTACGATTCTCTTCTGAGCATTATACTATTTGAAGATTACTACTTGAACAAGTATTACTAGTGTAGATATTATTGGAAGCTGTTACTATTAGTACAGACGTCTACGAAGTCTTGAATATAACGAGCATTTTTGGAAGTGATAAAAAGCTTTCGCTTGACGCAGCAAAAGTGACAAGCGAAGCCTGTTCAACATCACAAAACACAGTCAATATGAATTAGCTCACCAATATCCGAAATAACCGAGAGTTTGTAAGAAAACTTAAGGTTTCGATCTTTCAATTTTCTTATATTAGCAGCTAGCAAAACGGGTTTTAAGCAGCAAGCGATAGGTGACTGCCGACAAACGTTAAAAAACAAAACAAACACGAAACGGTACTAAATGAGAACGGAAATTTATATACACATTATAAAGAAATTCGTGCATATGGGAAAAGAATGAGTGTTGTTGGATTGCTGCCCCCTGATGATAGTTACAGGCAGCGTAAGATTTTAGAGAATCCATCTCTTTCTTGGTGACTTTTCATAGCGAAAAAAACGTACCGTATTTTCCGGCTTACAAGACGCCGCGGCTTAGAAGACACACCCTAATCCCGGAAAGAAATTTCTAAGAAAAAAAGTCATTCTCATGCAACAACACATTCACTATGCATGCCTCACATAGGGGCGCCACATATTTTTTACATTAATCACTCGTCCGATTTTACTTGTATCGCAATGATATACTAGTTAAGAGCAGAAAGGCTCCCCCCGCTGCTAGTAAATAGAGTATTTTTAAGCTTGTGGCTCGAATCCAGGAAGGTTTATAGTCTTGGAAATATTCGTAACAGATAAGTACTGAGGTTATATCATATAAAAGGCTGAATTAGGTAGATAGTTAACACTATAGTGTAATGACTCAATATACAAATCCACGTCCCTATCAGCCAAGCCAATTAGGTGAGCGTCCATGCTTACTTGAGCCTAGGCGTTGCCTTACATTCGTCTTGGAAGACGCACACGTATTTTTCGGGATATTTTTTAGGAAAAAAAAGTGCGTCTTGTAAGCCGGAAAATACGGTATACTTTTCGCTCCCGCAAAAAATGTAAGTACCTCATCTATAAACACTGAATGTTGCTTTGAACTTTTCACATTTAATTTCGTCTCTCATTTTCCCTTTTTGTAAAATGTCCTATCAGTATATTTGTTAATATTTCTTTGTTCAAATTCTATGTCTTATTTTTCTTTTGGAATTACACGAGTCCGCCAAAAATTGGTTGCGGATCAAATGTACCAGAAGCATAAAAATCTCATCAAAGTGCTGAAACCCGAAACAATGTCCAAATACGAATTTAGTTTTTCGTTAAATTTTAAAATTAAAGTTTGTGGCCATACATATACTTGTATGGGATCAGGAAATCTTTTCTTGGGGTAAAATATAGAAAAAAGTGTTGTTGATAAACTTAATGGTCAGTTTATCAAGTAGCAGAACGTTCAAGCTTAAAATGTTCTGTTGTCTGTGTCGATGTGATAAAGAATGATATATTGCTGTCGGTAGCACAAAGATATATTGATGCATAAATGTTGTGAAGTTCAAAATAGATTATTTTACAGCTTTGTAGATGCTCTAGAAACGATTACTTTTGGAGGCTGGTTTCCGTATTGTTATTGGTTGAAAATATCGTCTGGTTTGTGCTGATTGGCCAGATTTTATTTGTATGATTCGCGTTTTAATTTTACACATATAGAAAATTGATTTTTTGCTAACTTGCGGCCTCGATGTGATAATACTCAGTTTAAGGCTATAAGGGCTCACGTCCAGATCGATATGAACATTATCTCGAAATAAAGTGTAGGCTATGTAGAATAATTTTATGTACTAAGCATAACTCAGTTTTGGCTCAGTTTTGGCATATACGGGAGAGTTTGTTGTTTGATTACATATGTTTTAAATTGCATTGGCCATGCAGCAGTTCTGCGCGTTTGGTGATTGCGCTGTGGCACAGGACTGGAGGGAAGCCAATTCCTACCGTAGACAGAGCCAAACAATAATGCTTCTTTTAGCATTCTCCTTGGGCCTAAAGTTATTGCGTTTAATTTATTATTACTTTCATACAGTTCAAATATTTACGTCTTTATGTTGGAAATATCATTTAATGTCGTGGAAACATACAACGCCGAAGCAAGAAGAGGCGAATTGTCTGTATATGTGTTTGTAGACATCATAGACCTGCGAGGCGAACTTCGGCAAATCAATATTGAAGTGACACAGCGCATGCGTTATCGACGAGAACGAGGCTAACACAAGCGAGAGATCTCGGTTTCTTGCCCGAGGCCGAGAAAGGATAAAAAGGGCTGACTTTTTGTTTGAGGGGCAGATTATTCTTTGAGATTGCTGAAAGTTATACCCGTTATGTTCCAGAGAAAGAACGATAGTACTGTTGTTTACGGTGTGCAGGAAACGGAGTCCCGAGCGAAGCGTTGTTCCGGTTTCCACGTTAGCTGTCAGCGGGAACAGATTCGTTTGGAAATTTATTTTTCCTACCACCCAGTTTTCGTTTAAATCTCACTTAAGTAGAAATTCATGAACTTAATTATGACTTCAAACAGCTGATGTTTTGACTAGCAACGAAGCGCTTGATGAAAATTCCATAAGCGTCTCGTGAGATTCACGTTTCAATATAATCTTCAGACCAAGATCGACAGTCCCCATTCAGTGTTGATTCCCTTATCCATATATATATATATATATATATATATATATATATATATATATATATATATGAATTTAATTAAAATTAAAATTAAGACAACCTTAAGGGTCCATTGATTATATGTTATTTCCCCAGGAAGGTGGGTTTTTTCCTGGTTCTTCAGATCAAATTTCCAAGCATAAAAAAAGGTGGGGGAATAATCTTTGTAACTGAATGATAATCCCTTTCCAGTTTCAAGTATTCACATTTTAACGATCATCATCATACTCTTCCATAAATTGTATTCATCCAGAACAGTTGTTATTCCTTTGAAAACAATATCCACTTTTTTTTCATTTGGTCGATCTAATGATTATAACTTCTCTTTTTTCATTCTTCAAGACAAGCGGTTGATATTCTTGGCAATCAATTAATTTAGCATCAAAATACAATGACCACTTTTCTAAATGTACAGGATGTTGCAGCAAAATCCGTCACTTGACAAAAGTAAGACGAAATAGGCAATAAAAACTAAAGTTTTATATGCAGAAACCCGACAGTTTATTTAGCAACAGCTAGAGTCACATACTACATTATTTTTCAATGTAACCGCCGGCGGCGTCAACGACCATCTCCAGGCGGGCGCGAAATGAGTCACACGTTTTGACGATCATGTCCATAGCGGCGTGTTGTGTGCGTGCTTGTTGGTCTTGGCCTCGATCACGTCCCAGAAGAAATAGTCAAGGAGGTTGCAGTCAGTGGAGGAGGGCGGCCACAAGTCCGGTGACCAGTGGTGAGGAACATTGTGGAGCAGCCACGCCTTGGTCGTCTTGGCCTTGTGTTCAGCGAGGGGGGTGTCATGCCTCCGTTCTTCTTTCAAAAGGGGCTGAGAGTAACCGCTGAACTCTACCAGGAGGTACTGAGGAGCGTGGTGAAGCCCTGGATAGACAAGATCGCCACCGGACGCCCCTACGTCTTCCAGAAGGACTCCGCTCCTGCACTCAAGGCCAAGACGACCCAGGCGTGGCTGCTTAACAATGTTCCTCACCACTGGTCGCCGGACTTGTGGCCGCCCTCCTCACCCGGCTGCAACCCCCTTGACTATTTCTTCCAGAGCGTGATCGAGGCCAATACCAATAAGCACGCCCACAACACAGTCGACTCTCTGAAGGCTGCTATCGTGGAGGTGTTCGCCGCTATGGACAAGGACAAGGTCGCCAAAGCGTGTGACTCATTTCGCGCTCGCCTTGAGATGGACGTCGCCGCCAGCGGCGGTTATATTGAAAAATAATGTAGTATGTTTCTAAATAAACTGTCTGGTATCTGCATATACAATTTTTGTTTTTATTGCCTATTTCGTTTTCTTTTTGTCAAGTGTCGGATTTGGCTTCAACGCCCTCTAGTTTCTTTCCTCTTTAAATTTAACAACTCCTTTAATAGTTGATCCTCTAAGAAGGTACCTCAACGTCAATTCCTTCTTGGGATAACTTCTTACAAGTATTTGCTGCTTTGCTGTTTGAAGATGTTACTAATTTGATAGCTGTTTTTGTTTTACGTCTTTTTTCTTGTGTAATGTTCTTCAGAACTTCCGAACTCTTCAGATTCACCCTCCGATTAGGTCTCTGATTCAAATATCTATCTAAATAACTTGAGTAAACTTTTCGAACAAAGACTAAGCCAGCTAGTATTAATTAGACGTAGGTTGCTTAAAGATATCATGTAAGTTACTGTCAATCTTAACGATACTTGCGTGGAACAAGTCGTTTTCTTTTGATTGAGTATTCAACGCGGTTTCGTTTTTTTTTTTTTTTTTGAAGATTACGCGGGTCATAAAAAGCGTTCAAAGAAACTGTGATAATTAAATATGTTTGATAGCTCCAAAATACTGTCACATTAGACGCAAACAGAATATTTTATGGGCATAGATATGGGAAGTGTTTTAAAGGAAAGTGTGAAACTGAAACCAGAAAGCGTCATAGTTGTCCTTCTGTATGGTAGTGAGTCCTGGAAATCTTCAAAAAGATGAAGAAACCGGACCTACGTCTAGCTTTGTGTCTCTGGTACAAAACCGAGCTGTGACTACTTTTTGACTATAGTGCAAACCGGATCTGTAGTTAACATTTTAACTGACGTATAAACCGAACCCATATCTACTTTTGTCTCGAGTGCAAACCGAACTTAGGCCTAACTTTTTACCTCACGCATATATCGGACTTACGCTACTTTTTGATTTAAGTGCAAGCTGTATCCAGGTCCACTATTTTATTCTAGTGTAAACCGAACCGATGTCTGACTATTTATTTTAGCGGAAACTGAACTTATGTCTACCGTTTTGACTCGCGTATAAACTGGACCTATGTCTACTTTTTGTCTCATGTATAAACTGGACTTAGGTCTATATTTCTTATTCTAGTGTAAACCGAAACTATGTCTAACTTTATTTATTTTAGTGTAAACTGAACTTTAGTAACATTTGTATAAACGGGACTTATGTCTACCATGTTATCTTTCCTAATAATCTTTACCTATGTTTACCATTTTTTGACGATTCATTGTGATGTTATTTCTATGAGATTTATATTCTCTATTAAATACTCCCGCCATGTTTTTAAACCCAATAATCTAATTCATCATATTCACGTATTCATTAACTTCTCGCGAGTGCCAATCCTATTTGTTCACTCTGGACATTATACTCTTTTTTTTTAATTCGTTCGCTTTACATTTTTGTTTTTCTACTTTCTTCCATTTTGAATTTTATGTGTCCCTATTTCATTCTCTGTTTACGAATTGTCATTTGTTTATTCTTATTTTCTAAATCTCCATTTTCTTCTTCTTAAAAATACTTCACTTCTTGAAAATATTTATTAATAAAAAAAATATCAAAAAATAATTCTTTTCTGCCTCCAAATACTCGCGTTATTTGTTGATAATGTCTATTTTAACTCTATCATGTCATTTTCTTTTTTTATTTCTGATACGTCGCCGAAATCTCTCAGAAATTAAATGTGCTTCTTTTTAAGATATTAAAACAACGTCAAGAAGTTAAAAGGAAAGAGAAAAAAAATAAGGAGAAGAAACGAGACAAAGGGGCTGGGAATGGAAAGAAGCGAGAAAGAATTCAGTGAAAGTTAAAAAAAAATGAGAAAGAAAGAAAAGAAAGAAATATGGAAGTAAGAAAAAAAAAAGGAAAAACCCAAATAAAACAAAAAGAAATAATATAAAGAAAAGTAAGGTAAAAGAAAATAGAAAAATATAGAAAGAAAATAAAAAGAAAGAAGGATTATAAAATAAAAATTAATGAAAGTAATAAAAGAAAAAAAGAAAATAAAGATGAAAAGAAAAAGAAAGAAAAATTGAAGAAAATAAGAATGCGAAAAACATATAAAAAAAGAACAAAAACTGACAACGGATCAAAAGTAAAAAGAAAAAATATAGACAGAAAAGAATAAAAAAAGAAAAAGAAAATAGAGACAGAAAAGAAAAAAGAAAAGAAAAAAGAGAATATAGATAGAAAAGAAAAAAGAAAAGAAAAAAGAGAATATAGACAGAAAAGAAAAAAAGACAGAAAAGAAAAAAAAGATAGAAAAGAAAAAAAGAGAACGAAAAAAAGAAGACAAAGTAGTCGAAGAAAGAAATAAAAAAAAGGGAAACAAATGAAAGAAAAAAGAAAGAAATTGGCTGAGATTAAAGCGTAGTATCTGTTCTCTCCTCATGTGAGAAGAGAGAAGGCACCTAATCCTGGAGATTACAACCTTGTGACAGAACCTTCCTCATTACACTAAGAAAGGTGGAGTCGATGTAATATCGACGCCAGTGTGACAGTGATCGTGTAGAGAGCTTTGGTCCATATCTATATATATGTATATGCGTATGGGGACTCCTATATAAAATAGAGCTTGTGTCATATCCTGCCTTAGTGGGGATATCAGATAAATAACATTTTTTAGAAAATCCGGTTATTGCTTTATCACAACGCTGGCTAAGCTAGGATCTGAATTCAAACCAAATGTGGGAGATTTTATCATTCAAAGTCTTAGCCGATTTTCTATCAACCATTTTTATGAGCAGATGACCAGCCATTTCTAATTAAGGGACTTTTGGCAAACACTTCAGTCAATTGTAAAGAATGTGAAAAGATCAATAAAGCAGAAATAACACAGATTTAAAAGAAAAAGAAGAAGAAGAAGAAGAAGATGAAGAAGAAGAAGAAGAAGAAGAAGATGAAGAAGAAGAAGAAGATGAAGAAGAAGAAGGAGAAGAAGAAGTTTGGTTTGGTTTATTTTGTTTTACGGCATATAAACCTCAATCGGTTATTTAATGTCGACAAGATTTTTATTGCTGGTAAATTTTTTTTCCAAAAATTTATCGCTGGTAATATATTTAAAAAAAAAAAAATTATTGGTGGTAATAGTTTTTTTCCCCCAAAAAATGTATTGCTGGTAATATTTCTTTTCCAAAATGTATTTCTGGTAATATTTTTTAAAAAACATATTGCTGGTAATATTTTTTAAAAAACATATTGCTGATAATATTTTTCCAAAAAAGAATTGTTGGTAATATTTTTTTCCAAAAAATATATTGCTGGTAATATTTTTTCCCAAAAATGTATTGCTGGTAATATATTTTTTTTTCGAAAATGTATTGCTGGTAATATTTTTCTTTTTCATACACGTACTGCTGGTAATAATTTTTCCTCAAAAGTACTGTTGGTATTAAAACCTATGTTTATACTTTTATAGTGTTTTGACCCTTTTTGAGGGGTTAACAATTTGTCCATATCTGGGACTCTGACAGGTACTAGCACCTCTGGTAAGGGTAGACCTGGAAACACCAACAATTAAGAGGTCGTACCATGCTCCTCAAAACCTCTTGATCAAAAGCCTTTGGTGCTAGATGAAGTTTATCGTCATACCTAGGACGGAAGAAAAGAAAAAGTTTAACTGATAACCGGGAAAAATAAAAGAGAAAAATGTTTTCATTTTTTCTTTTGTTTGTTTTTAATGTTTAATTACCTTAGCTACTTTGAGGCAATTAAGCCAACGAACTGAACATCCAAGTTGTAAGACTGCCGTCAGAGTTCCAACGACATTATTGCTTTTCACGATCGATGTTTTTTTCGAGCGTTAGAGCAAACATCGTGAAGTCACACACACTTTGGAAGCGCATCATTCATGGACGTCGGTTTGACAACTTTGGTCATGGAAACATTAAGGATTAAGTAGAGCCCAAATCTAAAATCATTCTGCCAAACCTTTCTCTACTATTCTTTATGAGATTCTTGTTTTCTTTAATAACTAGTAGACATTTCAAATTTAAAAGTTAGGTTACATTGTTAATTTAAAGACATCAAAACTTTTATTTAATATTGAAAAAGCACAATCTTATATATAAAGTATTGTGTATGTGTGTGTTTGTGCTTGTGCATGTGTGTCCAAGCAACTCCTCCTCCAATGGCACGATTTTAATGATTCATATCTCATTCAAAAACCCTAGAAAAATTAGGCAAAGAGAGCGATTTTCGTTGAAATCAGATTCAGGGTTGCCAGATTATGCAAGGTTAAAAATATATATTAATATATTATACTAGCCATTATCGTTGCATTCATGGTTCAAGGGAAGTAACTCTTATTTTTCTTTTGTATCCAAAATTGCAGTGCACATTTTATTATAAAATAGCCTAAATAAAATTGTCCCCTGTTCTGTCACCCATGAAATAAAAAATAATTGTCTGTATGGAAAATAAGGATCTACATACATCAAATCATCTTTAAATTAAGTGGCAGCAAAAGAATTATCGTTGAACTTTTTTAAAAGGTAAGCATAAACATTAATGCAATACTTAAATGCAGCGATCAATTTTGAGTTCTTCTGTAGTTTATTGATGCCTATAGTATCTCCTCCTCTCTAGCTATTGTGATGATGGCCAAACCACGAGTCCTCCACAGTAGCGAGCTTAAATGCCGGCCGAAAGGTCGGTTTTTAAGCTAGTGTATTAATAAATAGATAAATATAAGTTCTATTTAGACAAGTTTTTTTAACAATTGTAGATATCGGTCCGTTTTATACTCGAGTCTGCATGCCACGAAACATCGCAATCTCTCGCTTTCCATTGAAAGTGTTCAGACGAACTACATTTCTTAAATTTACCAGTTCTAACCGTCATGACTTAAGACCCGCTATGCAACGGGTAGCGAACCCCTCTCATTCTTTTCATATTTCTGTTGGTGAGATATAACTTCCACTTGAGCAGCTTCTTCCCACGAACCGCTGTTTCACTAAATTCTTAACCTGTTCAAGTCTAGGGTTAACCGTTATCTTCCCCACGTATCCCCATAAGGTGTGTCTCTTACTCTGTAGCTTTCTACCTCGTGTGGCATTTGGGCCTTGTACAGGGTGAATATTATTGTAAATAGAATCCACTCAGAATGTGGTTCCTGATGGATCATACCTCTTTGCAGAGGATGCAGTCAATTAATTCGAAATTCGAAATCCCGCCTATAATATTTGCAGATATGTATTTCCACTGTAAGTGTGCAATTATTTATATTATATCTTTTTATCGGTGCTTTTTAACAAAGCTTTTCAATAAAAGCCTTTTCTCTATTTTTTTATTGCTGTTTTAACGTAAACCAATTTAAATAATGAATATTAGAATTTTCTGTATATTTTTATCGTTAAAGTAAAGTGTTTTAAATAATGCATATTAGAATTTTCTGTATATCTTTATCATTAAAGTAGTTTTAGATAATGCATATTAGAATTCTCTGTATATTTTTTATCGTTTCTTGAACGTAAAGTAGGCACATCTATTCTTTCGGCATAAATTTTTGATACCTAAGGTTTAAAATGAATTTTTAAAATTTCGATATTTAAGAAGATGACTCGAGTTTTCAGGTTGATGTTTTTGGTTTTGTAGAAATTTGCGGTGTTGTGTGAAATTATCCGTAGCACAGTTATTTATTCTATGTTCAATTTCTTTTTCTTCTATGCGTAATTTGATCAATATGCCGAGATATCGGGAGCATTTAGAATTTACTAATTCTACATAGTGTATTTTTATGATGGATTCGATGCAGGTGCCATCATTGCTTTCACTCCAATTCCGGATCTGATTTGGAAAGGTTTATCTTGAGTCCCACTTCTTGGAACACTTGATAGAGAATGCCGATTAAGTTTTCTCCCTTTGCTACTTTTTCCAGACCCTGTTCTGTCATCCACTTGCTTAAGCCCGCTAGGTATGTCATGCATTACTTTTCCTTGTCTCTCTTTCCCTCTATTCGACCTGTGAGTATCAGATTCTCCGAGCCTTTCTTTTTCATTACGTGTCCCCAAAATTTCAGTTACCTCTTCTTTATGTTAAATATAAGCTTCCTTTTTGTTTGCATCCTCTCCAGGCTCACAGGTTCGGTCCATGATATCCTTAGCATCCTTCTGTAGAACGATACCTCCGCCGCCTCAGGTCTCTTTTTCATCTTTGAGGAGACCGTCCAACATTCGCTGCCGTAAAGGAGGACAGATATCACATATCAGTTCAGTACTCTTTTCTTTGTTACCAAAGAAATCTTCCTGTCTTGTAATACTCTCCTTAGCTTTTGGAATGCGTCTTTGGCCATCCCACTGTGTTTTCGGATCTCAGCGTTGCATTTGGCGTCCTTTGTCTTCCCAGGCATTTAAATTCCCGTACCTGCTTGATTTTAGTATCCCCGACTTGTAAATCGCATTTCGGGCTCATCTTTTACTGATGACCACGCATTTTGTCTTCGGAGTCGAGAGGAATTGATTTTCCTAAACACGATGTGGGCATAGGTAATACAATGTTCACTAATATTTTCAGCATGATAAACACAACTGAGAAACTCTGTGAGGGTCTTGACTGCTACCTTTTTGTTTCAATAATGCACGGAAACAAACAGAGAAACAAGAAAGGCTATATTCAAATTTGGCGCATTATACATAAACGTCAGCGTGATCAGATATATCTAGATCTAGCCAATTCGGAGGAAGAGGATTGGTTAGTATAGTGATTTTCCAAGCGTAGCTTAGATGTGGCACAAAGCCGAAAGTAAGGGGCACCCAGTGAGGATCGAACTCACTACTCAGTCGTAATTGTTCTAGCGAGACAAGATTGCTAACCATTACATCACGTAGGTTTCCAAATATAGTGATTTTCTCAAACGTAGCTTAGATGTGGCACAAGGCCGAAAGCATGGGACACCCAGTGAGGATCGAACTCACTATTCAGTCGTAACTGATTTAGCGGGACAAGCTTGCTAACCATTACGCCACGCCTAGGTGTCCAGGATTGGTTATTATAGATCATTGGATCTTTATCGTGTAAGCTCCGAGGAAGAACTTTTGAAAAATGTTGCAAAAGTAGAAATTTACATCTGAAGAATATCGAAGGTAATAAACATTATAATGAAATACGTTGTAGCTGGACAATCTTCTCACAGACGAAGAAGTAATCAAAATGTGGTTCTATAGAAGGATGCTAAGAATAACATGGGCTAAGCGTATGAGCAACCATGAGGTTTTGGAGAGAATGCAAAGTAAACAAGAAGAAAGCTAATACTTAACATCAAGAAGAGGTAGCTGATATTTCTCATGTGAACAACGACGGAATTTTAGAGAAAATGGAAACAAAAAGGACCCGTAAGATTAACATAAGAAAGAGACAGTTGAAATGTCTAGGGTACATAACGAGGAAAGAGGGCTTGGGAAATTTGATACTCACGGGACTGATTGAAGGCAAGAGGGACAGCGAAAAACAAAGCATAATCTACTTAGCAAACTTGAGTAAATGGATGGAGTAAAAAGGTTTAAGAAACATAACAAGAAGACAAAAATTTTTAAGAGCTGTAAAGAAAAAGAAATTGTGGAGAGCCACGATCGCCGACGTCCTGAAGAGACACGGCACACAGGAGAAGATTAAGGAATTCCTTTCATATCATTGCTCACTGTAAATGAAAAATGCAAACGATCGAATGTTATATATATATATATATATATATATATATATATATATATATATATATATAAATTCATGAATCATTCATACAAAAAACAGATATAGAGGTTAATGATTTAAATGGCGAGAATATATCGTCGCAAACAATATAAATAAGATACACCAACCCCGAACCTGTATATGAATGATATGATCCCTGTTTATAAATTCCAGTTGCATAAGGTCTTTTTAATTTTTACAAGCTTTCGTCTGTTCCTACAGACATCATCAGGTATGGAAGTAGATTTTGTTCTTGTTTTTACTTCTTTGTTATTAGGAGACAACCAAAAAAAGAGATTAATCCGAAAAAATGCTATGAGAAATGTGTTATTGTTTTGGAACGTGCGGTCGCAACGCTGAGTTTGAATTTAAATTTTAAGGTTGTGCGTTTTTGTACAAATATAGCAATAAGAGAATTCTTTTTTACTGGTAGATTTTCCGTAAATATGGCATGAACTATTTTGTTCAATAATTACAGTAATGTCACACTTATTATCCGAGGGTTGCACGTTGGATCAGTTATTTTAATTTCAATTAAATGGTGCAAATATAATTTATAATTTCATGAATCATTCATACAAAAAACAAATATATATATATTACGAAATGGACAAAATCCGACAAATATTTTAAGACATTTCTTATGTTTATACATTCTTTTTATAGATATAAACATAAAAAAATGTCTTAAAATAATTGTCGGACTTTGTCCATTTCATAATGTGTAACGTCATTTGTTTACATTTGGATACGCATTTAGCAGATATGAATGTACGTGAGAGATTCATGGAAGATTGAAGTTTAAAGGCAGTAAATTCGACCTTGCTAACCGAACGCCCCTCTGTGGCCAAATCGGTTAAAGGCACGTCAAGCTAAATGATGGTTCCGTATAGGATACAGGTTCGATTCGTGTCGGAGGACGAATATTTTCTGTGAAAATTTCTCGGGCATTCAGGCCGGTAAATGTTGTTTAATGCTGTTTATTATAAACAGAGCATTTACTTAAATATCTGTATCTATAAAAAGAAGGTATAAACATAAAAAATGTCTTAGATATATATATATATATATATATATATATATGTGTGTGTCATTAGCAGACAGTACTGTTTCGCTGTATCATAGCTCCTCAGTGCGATTAGACAACCGAATGCTTAAAGCCCGGATCGAAACCCAACCGATTTGATGTCAGTCAGAGTCTCTACCACTGACCTATCTTCAGTCGAAGCCAGATCTAAACGTAAACAAATTCCATAGTGCTCCATTCATTTGTCTGATGATCGCAAAAGCGTGAAACCCAGGGTTACAAATTCATATCCATATAACTGCATATGTTAGCTCTATCACAGATATTGAGCACTTTCTTTGTTGCTTTCCGCATGAGCAGGCGTCAGCAACAAGGATTAGCTAACCACCATAGTAAACAGATGTATTCAAAAACGAACAGCCACATACTTCTTATGTGATTTCTCGCAAAAACTTCACTCAAAAATCAAAAACGGCGAAAACAAATATTCAATTTAAAAATATTCCATTATTTTTGTACCCGATACAAAAACTAGATAAGCTGAGAAATTGGTTTCAAGAGAAGGAGTCACTTCTGCTTGGAGATTTTCATCGAGAAACAAAGGAGGCCAAAGGTGATTCCCCATGGACCTCTTTGACGACAAGTGCCCTGAAACGATAAATTGAGAGCCGTATACAAGTAGAATCGGGTAAGTGTAGGCTTTGTGCAAAGTAGATGGAAATTCTGACACATCATAAGTGTTTGGGAAATGAGAATACAAGAGTTGCCATGGCAAAATGTGTTCGCATCTCCTTTACTGTTTTTGCCGGAAGTATGGATTCTAAACTTCCGGCAAGTGATACAGACATAATCCTCCGACGATAGTATTCGAAACTGAGCATATGAAACTCCTGTGGTACTTCACAAGTCACACTGATAGAGTTATTGACTGCACCAGATCATCGACAAAAACTTACAAACTTACTGGTTAAGAAAAGTTGTGGAAGAAAAGCCTGGAAGAATATCTGAGCTGGAAGAATTTGGCCTCTTTCAATAGAACCTGGAGTTTCTTCCATGATTGTTTCACGTCGAGTTGTGAAGAAAGTGGCAAAACATTACCATGAATTGGAAGAAAATCAGAAAATATGCCGTTTTGAGTTTGGCCCAGTTCTGTTTACGGTAATAGTTGCAATAGAAAATGGGTGCCTTTAAGTTAATTGTTAACACATATTTGGATTAAAACTAAAACCGTTTCTTTGTTCTACTTCTTTTCCCTGTCAAAATATTGCATTCAATGTCTTGGGTTGGTGCATAATTATCAGGCGTTTTTAAACAAAATTTATTATAAAAAAAGAAACATAACAACTCAACAATAACATTTGATTATTCTGGAGCATATGATTATCGACACGCATTTTATAACTTGAAAGTAAAATATTTTTATTAAAAAAGTAAACAAAAGAGCAATTTTTATTAACAAATAACTCGCAAAAGAAAAACGCCTGATAATTATGCACCAACCCAATAGTGCATCTAACAGCAAATAATTAATTGGAACTAATTATTTATTTATTTTCTTTCTTTCCATTTTTTTTTCGCTTGTTCACTTGAATTCTCGTTTAAACATCCCCTTATCCATTGCCTTATTTGTCCACCCATCCTATTTTTCTTCTCTGTCCATCCTTACTTTTCTATTTTTCTTTTTTCTTTGTTTCTTTTTCTCTCGCTCTTTCCGTTTCAATTTTTCTTTTACTCCGTTTCTTATCCTTCGACCATTCCACGTTTTATATATTCTTCTTCAATTCTTTTTTCTTTTGTTCTTCCAAGCCATCATAATCTGTCTCTTTGATGTCATTTTTTTTCCTTCCGTATTCTCCTTTTTCGCTTCTCTTTAAACTGAACTCTGTTATTAAATATAAAGAGACCAAAAAAAATTATCCACTGATTTTTGGTACTGTGTTAATAGAAGCTGGTGTCGTATGCTGGCTTATTTATTGCTTTCATCAAAAAATATCCTTAAAAAAATATTAGGTAATCATGATATGCACTTCAAACATTAAAATATAATTACAAGGCAAACTTAATTAGAAATATCGTTTAGTCATTTAGCATTTCTTTGTTGGCAATTAATAAAATTTACTTTAAGAGTACAGCATTTAAATTAGCATCTTGATTGATTACGGCCCTTATTCCTGATAAGAAACCATGAACGAGATTTCCTTCTTAACACTCCTTTAGGGATTTAACTCAGTAAGCCCTTAATTCAGCGAAAAACTTTATTAAAATTTATAATATATTCAGAACTTTGTTCTATTACATTCATTTTGAGACATTTGCTTAGTAGTTATTCCCGGTAGCCATTTAAAAAAAGAAAAAGAAAAAAATGACATGTCAGCCATTTTGAATCTAATTCCATCTGTCACTAGATGCAATAAATGCGTTGACATTTGTTTACAAAGTTTAAAGGTATTATTAGAATTAGAAACACACTTTTGGGGGATCAAAAGAAAACGCGTTTAAATTATAGTTAGAACCGTTTTGCTTTCATACGAATACATTTTTGCTAAAGCGTGTATTTTTTATGAAATTTCGACACGAGGACATTTTACAGAGAGAACATCTGTAAAATGACCTAGTGTCGAAATTTTATAAAAAAAAAAAAAAAATACAAAATGTCAAATAATACAAACAATACAAAATGTCGTATAAAGTTTCAAGAAATTCATTTGGCTTACATCTCGTTGAAACAGCGGTTCCTGTACGATCGCCGAAGTTAAGCATCATTGAGCCTGGTCAGTCCCTAGATGGATGACCGCTTAGGAATACCGGATGTTATAGGCTTGGGTGTGCGGGTGGTTAGTAGGTCGGAATTTTCAATCGGAGAGGCGAATTCCAATTTCAGTTGCGTTCATTATATTGCCTTACGAAAAGATATAAATCCACTTCTCTCCCTAGCTATGGGTTAATTAGTAAGACTTGTATCACTAAACTATTATTATCTCCAAAAAGAAGAAGAAATATTTTCTGGCTTAAAAAGGAATCACTCAATGAAGAAATTGAATCAATAATGGCGTCACCTCAACTTATCGTTTGTTTTCATCCATTTTCAATCATTTGAGCAATTTTTATGTAGCTTCATTTGATTTCGTTCAAGGGAACGCACGTTTGGATCAAGACTGCCAACATGATCCATAATTCTTATCGTTGGTTCGAACGCTTTCCACCTTTCCCTGGTCATAATCAATAACAAAGCATGAGATAATAAGGCTAATCTGACTCTGTGTTAGAGTTTCTCTTAGAGCCAACATGCCCAGACGCTCATCTGTAAAATCTTTTTAGAAGGAAACACCAGCAAAAAAGCTACGAGCATGACGCATTACTTTCTCATCATATTGGGTTATGGCACGTAAAATCCTGCGTATTTTCCTTAAAACTTCCAGATTCTACTGGCTCCTTCGACATCGTTCCCTCAGGAGTTTTGAATACAGGCTTACAAAAGCGTATTGCTTTCAAAGAATATTACGGCAAAAGTCCGTACTACATATGTGGTATTCAAATTACCAGTCAAGACAAGGATAAAAAAATCATTTCTTCCTTATCTTCCCCCTCTCTCTCTTCTTTCTCTCTCTCTCTCTCTGTATATATATATATATATATATATATATATCAAATAAATAAAAGAAAACATCTAAATCTATCTATCTATATCTATCTATCTATCTATCTATCTATCTATCTATCTCTCTCTCTCTCTCTCTCTCTATATATATATATATATATATATATATATATATATATATATTGAGAGAGAGAGAGAGAGAGAGAGAGAGAAGAAGAGAGAGAGAGAGAGGAGGCACGTCGGAGTAATGGATAGCGGCTTGGATTGAGGAATCGCAGAGCCGAGTTCGAATTCAGTCGAATCCATTACATTCACTTACGTGCCTTAGAAATGTATGAATCATCTCCCTTCAGCTATGAGTAAAATAGCAGAACAGACTGGGTTCTATAGCCTTGGATGGCAACTGGTCTAGGAGAAGGTCAACTCTGAATTCAAAACCTGCGGAGGGTCGTTTGGGGACCTTGTGGCACACGGTGCACCAGGTCTCTGTATTCGGCCCTTCAAAAAGTGTGGAAGGTCCTGCACGAAGCCTTCACCACTATAATCAAATCTCATGTGCCGGTGTCGGGCTGTCGGTTTCCTGGATACTGATCTGCTTGATCTCGACGGGAGAGTCGACTATATATATATATATATATATATATAAGGAAGAGGTTATAGTAGATCCAACGAGAGAAAAGTGTGTATATTAAAAAGAAAAGTGATACCGCAAATGTTTTTTGTTGTAATAGTATCTTTCTTCTTTTTTTTTATATATATATATATATATATATATATATATATATATATGTGTGTGTGTGTGTGTGTGTGTATAATGAGTATGTATATAAATGTAAATATGTATGCATATATATGCAATTTTTTTATACATTATTTATATATTATATATGCCTGGTACTTATTGGAAAGCGCTCAATATCAGTAATAGAGCTAACGTATTTAGTTGGATTGGTGTGAGTTAGTGACCCTGGGTTTCACGCTATTTGTGATCGTCAGACAAACTCAGATTTTTGTCTGACGATCGCAAAGGGTGTGAAACCCAGGATCACAAACTCACATCAATCCAACTAAATATATATATAGTTTTAAGGTATACTATATTTATGGGATAAAGTGCTCAATATCAGAGATAGAGCGTATGTAAATATAAAAATGAACATCGAATTGAACCCTCAGTGGCGACAGACTGTTTCATGCTAAACGCATTCATCAAGCCACATAAAGATGAAACAATCTGTCGTCTCTGAGTGTTGACTTTGATGTTATATATATATATATATATATATATTGTGCACATGTTACATTAGAACATGTACATACCCACTACAAAACTGTACATCTTGTTTCAACGTAAAAAAATTAAGGTTTCATCAGGTGAGAAATCACGATGCTACTAAAATATTTTATTCCGAAATAAGTTAACGAATCACATCTTCCACTTACGCCATTACCCATAAAAGGTAAAAAGGATTTACATATGGAGAAAGAAAGAAAGTTAAGTGATTATTAACGGCGAGAGAGAGAAGAGTTATATTGGATATATATAGAAATTGTATATATATATATATATATGGAAATTATATATATATATATATATATATATATATATATATATATATATATATATATATATATGAACAGTCTCTACTCATTTTATAACCTAAAATCTCAATTCAATATTTTAAATTTTAAATTCTGTGATAATATATATTATCAGAGAATTTAAACGAATTGAGATTTTTACTGAGGATCTCGCCCCCTCTAACTGAAAAGGCCCTGACAATGATTGTTAGTAAACCTGAGAAGTCTATTCCCCCGAAAAACCGTATTAGTAGAAATGTTTTATAAACTTCAATCGACGGAAACGCTAATTGTTTAGTCAATAAATGCTGAATATTTTCTAGATGCCAAATCTCCCATTATCATTGCAAATACGCACAATTACACAAGAGCCAGGCCTAGGGAACTTGCATCCTGAAGATTTTGAAGAACCTAAGTGAAGCAACTGAGCAGCACTCTTAGTTTTCAGCACCCATTTCAGTCTGATTTTATGTCGCTTTTGTGTGATAATTTAAGATAGCATTATATTAAATGTCATTCGAATCTATTCGTTATCGCGATCACGTTAAGGGCTACTGTCTATTTTAATTAGACACAAGATTTTGACGAATTCTAGTGCAATACCCAAGTGTATACGTGTCTAGTTTGACCTGCGACAAAAGTAATGGTCGGCCAGAATGGATTTCTAATCACTTTTCTACGGCGACACACCCTAAAGTAGATATTCATTAATATTAACTGAATTTGACAAGTTTAGAACATCCAGTTAGAATTTCTTCATTACATCAGCATATGACGCGCTTCCGAAGAATAATTTTCACTATGTGCTGGACTGGAGTGACCTGGTGATAAAGCACTATGTGACTTTTCTCTGCGCATATGGAGTTTGATGTTGATATACACTCTTGTGTACATGTTTTGAAACAACCGCTTTAGTTTCCTTCCTTTCACCATTCGGTCAGTTTTAGATCCACTGGAGTGACAGCGTGTAATCGATTTCTATTTTCTCATCAAATTAGGTCATTTAAGTGTAGCGTGCTGTAATATGAATCTATTTTCGAAGTGTATGATGAAATTTGTTTGACCTTGAAAAATATTGCGTCATCCATGATTGCATCAGATTTTTTCACACCCAGACACTATTGTCTCGACTGTCGATTAGTTGTCCTACGGCCATTGAGTGCGATGGACTTTACTCCAAGGAAGCGTACGAATATTGCAACGCTGCTTGAACACACTGGCGTGCCTTACCAATCTATTTTCGGTATGTATAATGAAATTTGTTTGGTCTTGAAAAATATTGCGTCATCCATGATTACATTAGATTTTTTCACGCTCAGACAATATTGTCTCGACTGTCGATTAGTTGTCCTACGACCATTGTCTGCGATGGACGTTACTCCAAGGAAGCGTACGGATATTGTAACGCTGTAACTGGCATGCTTTACCAGTGAGCAAATCAAAGTATTATAAACTGACACGGAAACTCTCCTGGTTTAAATCCAGTCGAGAATCGGCGGTCAATCTACAAAGAACGACTTCATGGAATGGACACACTAAGTACTGAGAAGTGCACTGGGTCATATTTCATTGGAAAAATACGAAGAGAAAGTAAATAATAACGGAATGATTCGTTTTGTTTCAATTAATTTGCACATGGGTTTAATGCTGTCCGGCTAATGAAGATCGGTGTTGCTAATTTCGTACCCCCATGAACTAAAACATTAGCAACGGTTTTATTATACAATTAAGAAGCATATAACGGACACGTAATTTGAATCTCACACCGACTTTCACAAGCAATTCGCTCAGACATTTCACATGCACAAAACTACCACAAGATTACCCTGTCTTTTCAGAGTCAGTGTTCGCTTTCACTGAATAAATCCTCGTTGTTTCTTAAACCCTGTCTAATTCTTTATTCGTTTATTTCAACGAAAGACCAAGCTCACCTTGTTCGTTTTGCCTTTTCTTTTCTCTTCGTCATAGCTTTATTCTATACCACTACTTAATACAACAGTTGCCGACTACGTAATTTTAGCCCACACTGACTAGTAACCCTTCCATCAATTAAGCTAATATCTAATATAGCAACAGTCGCTTTCTCTCTTTATTCTTAAAGCAGCAACCTGCTTTCTAATAAAGTTAGTTGCTAGTGTCAACCAGCATCTGACCACAACTCATGCAGATTGCGATAGTGGCGTGCAAATCATTACTAATCAGTTAGTATGATTACATCACACAATAACGAAGTAGATTCTATCTTGAATGGTCTTGGGTAAGACAATAAATGACATATGCGTCCTGAGTAAAACGATAAACTACATCCAACAACAAGGTGTTCCTAGGTCCACCGTGGTAGCATCTGGTAGGGTCCCAGCAATGCGCAAATAGTTAACCCCCAAACTGGGGTCAAGACAATATGAAAGTGTAAAAATAGGTTTTAATACCAGCAATAAATTTTTGTAAAATTTTATTTTTTGTTTCACCCCAAGCAAGGCGGGAAGCCACTAGAACGCAAGGGGTTACAGAGAGTTGGAGCGAGACCAAATATGAGTGATAGAGGAAAGGATGAAGAGAAGGATAGGGGATAGATCAAGGCATCTGGAGACGTCGATTGACATTACATTTGAATAGTTGGAGATTATAACTATCAGG